GTGAGGAGCACCTGTGAGGAGCACCTGTGTGGAGCACCGTGAGGAGCACCTGTGTGGAGCACCGTGAGGAGCACCTGTGTGGAGCACCTGTGAGGAGCACTGTGTGGAGCACCATGAGAAGCACCTGTGTGGAGCACCGTGAGGAGCACCTGTGTGGAGCACCTGTGAGGAGCACCTGTGTGGAGCACCATGAGGAGCACCGTGAGGAGCACCTGTGTGGAGCACCTGTGTGGAGCACCGTGAGGAGCACCTGTGTGGAGCACCTGTGAGGAGTACTGTGAGGAGCACCTGTGAGGAGCACCGTGAGGAGCACCTGTGTGGAACACCTGTGTGGAGCACCTGTGTGGAGCACCTGTGAGGAGCACCGTGAGGAGCACCATGAGGAGCATCGTGAGGAGCACTGTGCACCTCCCTGCACCTCCCCTTCTCCGTGGAGAGAGGAAGAGGAGGGACACTTCCCTCGGGAGTGAAGGGGTTGGAAGTTGGTTTTATAGACATGGTCGTGGCTAACCTCTGCACTGGAAGCAGTCTGGCCTCGGGTCCCCTCACACCCATGAGGCCTGACTGGAACCGGCCACATCTGCACAGGGACCGGGAGGAGCAGAACCAGCACCACAGAGAGGACACATAGCAGGTACTTTTATTTTGCAAAGGCTCATGCTGGCCCCAGCATGGCATGGGGATTCAGGCCGTGTGCGGAGGAGATGCTTCGGGGTGCGTGGTTGAAGGACTCGGAGTCCGGCCCCAGACCGGCAGGATGGAGGTCAGGGCTGGCCTGGCTGGCTGGGCAGGAGGGTGCTGGCCCCCAGACACGAAGTCTGCACCCCGTCCTGCCGGGGTGGGGGCCCTCAGAGCTCACAGCCAAGTTTGGGGCCAGCGCCCCTGGGGCTCCTCAGAGGGTCACTCCGGACGCTGACGCTGGTCCGCAGGGGACTCGAGCTGGTCTCTCCCCGCGCGCCCTCGTGTGGGGCGTCACGCAGCCCTGGTCAGGCGCGCTGCTCACACCATGGTCATGACCTTCAGGGCTGTGGGCTGGAACCTGCGGATCTTTTTCTTCAGGGCCTTGGAGGCCTTGATGCGGCACAGCTTGGGCATGGGGGGCAGGGGCGGCCTGGCCCCCCTCCAGGCCTTCGGGAGGGGCAGGGGGGCCTCCCCAGGCCAGGCCGGTCGCCCGCACAGGGCCCCGGCCCCGCCGGCTGGGGGGCTGCTGCTGCTGCTGCTCTGGACGCAGCAGTCCACATCGCTGCTGCTGGACTCCTGGTCCCCAAAGCAGTTGGTGGTGTGGTCACTGGCCGCCTCCTCCTCCTCCTCCTCCTCCTCGCTGGTCTCGGCGATGGTGGACGGGCGCTGATGGGCGCCCTCGGCCGAGGGCTCCCAGGGCTCCGACTCGCCCCTGGCACAGGCATCCTGCCGGGCCAGCGCAGGCCTGCTTTGGGCCCCGGGACCACTTGCTTTCCTTGTGACGGACCTGGGTCGGGGGGCTCCCGTGTCGGGCTCCAGGCAGCTGGCAGGGAGGCCCCCGGCTGAGATCTCCACCGTGGACCGCCACCTGCGCTGCTTTCTCCTGGAGGCCGCCCCGAGGGGCGCAGCCTCCCCCAGGAACAGGGCGTGGGAAGCCACATGGTAACCTTCCTGCGGGGCCACCACCAGGGGGACGGAGAGGGGCACGGGGTAGAGGGTGGACTCGGAGCAGGACCGCCCTGGAGCCTCCCTGGCCAGCATGGGCCTCCTCCGCGGGCCCCCACCGGGGGGTCTGTGCGGGGGGTCCCACGCCGGGGGCAGCGCAGGGGCAGCGTGGGAGACCCAGTGTCTTTCCGGCAGTGCCGGCGGCGGCCTCCCGGGCCGCGGCACCCCGTCGCCGGCCCTGATCCTGACACTCATGGCCTGGGGCTGTGGGAGGCTGGCCGGCAGCACTGGGCACGCGTCACCCACAGCGCGGGCTGGGCGGACCAAAGGCCCCGGAGGCAGAGGAGGGCTCCCACGGCTCCTCTCCGCGGAGGGCAATGGGGCACAGCCGGGGCCTCGGTCGCCATGGCCCTGCCGAGCCTGGGTGCAGACAGAGGGGCCCACCGTGGACTCCCCGTCCACAGAGCAACCCCAGGGCTTGGGCCTGTCCTCTGGGGGGCTGTCGGAGGAGAGGGAGTCCGTGGGAGACCCAAGCCCCTGCTGCCCGGGGCCATCTCTGCCGGCAGCCCTGCCCCGCGCCATCCTGTGCGCATCCTCTCCTGGGGTGCACCCCGGCTTCTCAGGCCGACCACCACCTCCTGACGGCTGGCCGGCTAGCTGCTGTGGGGAGGGGGGTGTGCTGCGTCTCGGGGGCACCTGTACCCCCACAACACCCCTCTGGGGGACCCTTTGGCCCCTCAGATTCAGCAGCCTGTTGATGTAGGCCCCAGCCGTGCCCGGCTCGTAAGAGGGCCCAGCCTGCGTCCTACTCAGACTTCGGGAGCTTAAAGGGGGTGTCTTGGGGGGTGACTGGCTGACAGGTTGCGGGGTCTCCTTAGTGGGAGCAAACAGGGGGCTCTGCAGCGCCACGGCGTGCAGAGGGCTGGGGTACAGGTACACCTCCTGGCCGCCCCTGGCCACCAGGTCACACTGGTACGTGGGGTCCAGGGCATCTATCCCCTGGCAGGAGGAGGCAGAGGTGTTGTCTGGGCCAGTGCCGTGGAGCCCCAGGTCGACTGGGAGCACTCTCTCAAGGTCACCTAGGAAAGGATGCATAAACAGATCAACAAGGAGAATTCCAGTTCCCTATCCCTCCTCTCCCACAGGAAGCAGCAAGTCTTGCCTCCATCTAAGATGGTCTCTGTGCATAGTAATCCCTGCTCCTTCATCTGCCAGAGATGGCCTGTGCATGCATACTGATCCCTGCTCCTGTCAGAGGTGGTCTCTGTGTGTGCATATTGATCCCTGCTCCTACTGTCAGAGGTGGTCTCTGTGTGTGCATATTGATCCCTGCTCCTTCTTCTGCTGTAGCTGGCCTGTGCATGCACACTGATCCCTTCTCCTTCATCTGCCAGAGATGGCCTGTGTGTGTGCATACTGATCCCTGATCCTTCCTCTGTTAGAGGTGGCCTGTGTGTGCATACTGATCCCTGATCCTTCATCAAAGATGGCTTGTGTGTGCATATTGATCCCTGCTCCTTCCTCTATCAGAGGTGGCCTCTGTGTGTGCATACTGATCCATGATGCTTCATCAAAGATGGCCTGTGTGTGCATACTGATCCCTGCTCCTTGGGAGCAGAAGGAGCCATCTCTGCTCCTCACATTACCGTAGCCCTGAGCCCTCCAGAGACCAATGCCTGCATCTGAACAGGCATAAAGGTTCCCAGGCTCCTGGGAGTGGATCTGGGAACTCTCACTACACCCAGGCCCAACTCGTGTCTTGTGCCTTAGGTTGGAAATAAAATGAAACCCAAGTGGCATCTTTCCCTTTGAGGACAAGGTGAAGGAGCTAAGTGAGCTGTCTATAAACTCTGCTTGAACCTAGACTTCAAACCCTGCTAATTAGGGGCTTTGGTGGACTTAAACCCGCAGGTTTTCTGATGTCCAATTTAAACAAGAAAGCCAGATTCCTGGCGCAGCCCACCTGCAGCGAGGCCGATGCACTGCCTCCTCCTCCCTGTGGTGCTGCATGGGGTGCGTCTGCCTCATCCTCCCTGTGGTGCTGCATGGGGTGCGTCTGCCTCATCCTCCCTGGGGCTGGGGGGATGTCTCTGCCATCTTCTCACACATGACTCTCCCATCATTGCCCGACTCTCTTACCTGTAGACACCGGCCTGGGCCGGAACACTTCCCAGGGCTGGCCTGTATCCTCAGTTCTGTCCAGGGGCCTGGTGCCTTCTTTGGTGAGCTGGGGCCTCCACGCTGGCACCGTGGTCTCATCTGCAGACCTGGGCCGCCAGTCCCCCATGCCGGGCCTGGCTTTGGCGGGCTGGAAGACAGGCAGCCAACTGCCCAGAGACGGGGAGAGGCGGTCGCTGCACACAGAGGCACAGGAGGTGGACAGGGAGCAGGAGCCCACGTCGCTCAGCTCGTAGAAGCCTGGACAGAGCCAACAGAGGCCGGTCAGTGCACAAGGGCTAGGCCTTCCATCCAGAGGACACGTTCTCTTGTGCTGGCTCAGGGAGGCGTGAGGGGCCCTGAGAAGGGGAGGCTGGGGACAGGCCTAGGGCAGGAATGTTCTGGATTTTCTGTAACTGTTTGTGCTAGTGTGTGCGGGTCAGATCAGCTGCACCTGAGGTTGCTCATCCCTTCCTCAGCCAGTGGGTTCTACACACGGACATGTGACCACTGACTGCAAAATGGGGGTGGCGAGTGTCCCTCCTCTCCCTAGCCTAGGTGCCTTTACATGAGTCTGCAGGCACACAGGGGGACACTCCAGGACCCCTCAGTCTCTCGCCTGGGTGCCCAGCCCAGAGCTAACTGCAGAGCAATATGTGGACAGTGCTTGTGGTGGGTAGACACGCAGCTGGCCAAGCAAACCCATCTCCAACCGTGTGTCCTGAGACACAGGCTGCACTGCCGAGTGCTGCACGGGCAGAGAAAGCAGGAGGGGCCCGAGCCAGGCTGGCTGCGCCGCACCCGCTGCTGCTACGCCCCCCCCTGCTGCCCCCCTGCCCCCCAGG